ATTTCACTTTTTGGTCATAAAATAAAATAAATTAATATAAATAAATAGGTACATGTACACACTTTAAAAATTAATAAATGAAATATAAGTTTATCAATACTAATTAGGATTATTTATTAAAAATTTGAATCAATAGACTACTGTTTCATGTGGTCCGAGTCAAAATTTTCATTCAAAAACTCCTGAACTGAATAATAGCATTTCTGTACTAAAAACTTTTTTAGATAATTTTTAGATAAACTTGTACTGAGTTCTCTAAATTTCTTAATTTCACATATTTTATTGTAGCATTTGATTCCTATATAATTGGGATTCTCCTGTCCGATTGATAATCTAGAGAAACATGAATTGATGGTGTCCTTCTGCCGCGTATTATGATTGTGAACATCCTTTCTTGTTTTGAGAGAGTTATGTTAATTTATGATGTGAACAATTATTGAGTAAATGCACATACATAAAGCCTTTGACACCGTTTGGACAGATGGATTCATCGCGAAAATGTGGACGGCACACATGCCTTTATACATGATAAGAATCTTGGATTCTCATCTGGTCAACCGGAAATTTAGGGTAAGAATACACCAAGCTATCTCTACGGATTTTTCAATGGAAGCAGATGTTCCGCAGGGGTCCTGTCTATCCCCACACCTATACTCTCTGTATACATATGACTTTCCAATGTTCGCCAAAACGAATGTAGGCAAATATGCAGATGATCCTGCCATATATGCCCATTCTTACTCTAGTGAGGTGGCAGCATGCCAATAGATTCACCTGGATCGGTTAGTTGTACCGTACATGAAGAGGAATAAGATAAGGCTAAATCCGTCAAAGACTGAACTTGTCAATTTCACGAAGAAATTCACCGACGTGAGGATCTTTAGGAAATTGACGATTCAAGGAAAGTGTGTGGAAGAACAGAAAAGTGCGAAATATCTGGGGGTTATCCTGGGCAAGCGCTTGAATTTTCATGAGCACTTCAGTCTGGCAATTCTCTACCCTCAAGGTAGAGGTACTTATGAAATGTAGGCATGTCAATAGTTCATTTTAATAAAGAAGATTTTTGCTTTTTAGTACCAAATTCTGATAATCAACAACGGTATTTATGTAACAACATCATTGTACCCACACGACTTCCGAACACTTAACAAAAATCGCCAGATGATGACAAATGTGATTTTGTCGAAACGTTACGAAATTAATTTTCACCGAGGATGACAATACACCACACGGAACTAACCCGAAGAATAATTCCAACACCAAAACAAAATTACTGTCTCTCGACGCCCGTTTCGGTAACTAAGTTAGTGTGCTTGGAAGATCATCATGACTAAGTTTCACTACTATCTTTTATATGCTAGTAGTCTAACTACTATCGGTTAGTATTACCTAACTGCTACCTGTTATTGTTCCTGTGCAACAGGTTTTATGTCACCCTACAAAAAATGTTCACATGTCTTTCCTTTGGTTTTCGTTCATTTAAACACTACGTTTTTATGAATCGATAGATATAGTAGATATTTCTTTTAATCACTAATCATTCGCTACTGTTTCATTATTTTCAAATTGTTAGTACCTACTCCGGAAAAAGTATTCCGGGAAATCAAAATCATCGTGGAATGGAAATGAAATATTTCCCGGATACAATGAACAAATTTCAGTTTCCTTTAGGAAAATTTCCTAGTCTAATTCTGAATTATGAATTTAATATCCTCTACTTCATAACTTCTTTATTGATTATTCTGATATCTCTGTTTTATTGATGTTAATCAATACTGGAGGCTATCGTTGAAGTCACTTTCACAATCGATGATAGTTTTACGTATTAACGACTAATTTTCATACTATTAGTGTTTGACAGGATTTTTTCCCAAATACTAGTTTTTATCAATATGTCATTATTCGAACATTTTGTGCATAATAGATTCATTCAAATTCGAGGGCAACTATTTGATTTTCCTGGAATTTCTAGGATCTTTGAGGAAAGATAGATAGTATACTTCACCACGTATACAGGCCGTTTCTTTCATCATGTGGTAACATTGCTATATTCTAAACCGTAACAGATACGAAAACTAATGAATGGGAAAAAAAGTAACTGTCATCGGGAGCAATACAATAGTCGAAGAAAATTTACGGGGACTGTCGCCCATCTCGAGTTATACGGAAAAGCAAAAGTGCTGTTTTTGTTTTTTTTTTCGAATGAAATTGTTATTTTGAAAAATATCAAAAAAGGAAAAAAAAATGTTCTTGTATTCGAACGACGATGTTATAGTAAATATTCGATAAAACGTTCCGTGTCAACATGGCCACCATCAACTTTTTTTCAAATACGGACCTGTATTTTTTATCACAGATATTGATAAAGCGATAAATTCACAATCCAAGGGTATATCACATTTGATATTTTTATAGCGTTTCATTTGAAATAACCACCATCATCAGTGACAACAATCAAACAGTAAAACAATTTATTTTATCATAAACTTTCGGGAAAAATGAAAGCAAAATGAAAAATCAGAGCTACATTGCAATCTACATTAAATACTCGAATTGACGACTTCTTTGTTGAATGCACATAAGTTGTCGATCCAGACAATTTCTGTGGCAATTTTCTAGCATAATAGATGTAATACTAATAACATGCATTTCTTATTCTTTGTTTGAGATGGTAGATATCTGTACTTGGTGTTGAAGAAACAAAAAATCTAAAGGAGTAAGATCTGGAGATCGAGCTGGCCAGTTAATTGGTCCATTGTTTCCAATCCATTTTCTTGGAAATATTGCATCTGAATGTTCCCTTACTATTGCTGCTCCTTTTGGGAGGAGCGCCGTCCTCTTGAAAATATGGTATTCGAATATTCAGTGGCAATTCATCTAAGTAACCATCGAATTCATTGAATAGAAAATGAAGATACATTTCACTATTCAAATGATCATCGTTAAAGAAAGGGTCAAGGATGTTTGTTACCACAATTCCCAACCAAACATCTATTCCAAAAGTTTCTTGGAAATTGGTTTCCCTATGTTGATGTTCATTTGTATTATTCCACCTATAATGGATATTTCTATTGAAGCAACTATTGTTAGTTCAATAGAACCACTTCGTAAATCGTACTCTCCTCCCGTAATCCCTTTCATTGAGATGATGAACTTTGCATATCCTATATCATTTATATTTGTTCTTTTTCAAAATAGTTCTGGTGGATTTAACAGAAATCCCCATTTCGTGGGCAATTTCGGTAAATAACAATCTTGATTATCATACTTTTTGTAACTGGCCAATCCTAAATTCAAAAAAGAGATGTTTTCACTGTGTGAATTTGTATATGGTAATATTTGCTCAACCATAACATTAATTTGATTTCTCACACTTCCAGTAACCACACATTTCCTTTGTTTTTTTTTCTGTCAAATGCACCATAGTCCCTTGAATTTTCTTTCTAATCTTCTAAACATTTGGATGTTCGTAATGCGACGCTTTGGATAGAGCTTAACATACATATTCCTTGCCAAATGGTGATTTTTATTTGGCTTTGCATAACTGGATAGAATATCAGTTCTTTCATCATTTGAATACATCTTTGATAGGTTCATGAACGTCTGACAGTTCTCAACAGATATCAACAACGCATTCATTTTTCCTGCCATAAAAAGCCTACGCGTTCAAGATGGTAAATGAATTGAAATGCTATTTGATCATACTAAATTATACAACAATCAAATTTTGACCAAAAATGGATAATTTCGTCACTTCCAGAATTGAGAAATATAAAAATAATACGAATTATACTTGATTAGGAATGAATAAGCCTTGGAAAAACGCAATGAAAAAAATTTACGAAACTAAAAAGTACGAATTTTCATTGTGTTAGGGTATCTACCTGTGTAATTTATTGGGTTGTCTGAATTATATTTTGAAGAAATCGAAACAATTTATAAAAGAAGTAACGACAGGACCGTAATTTAAAATTGTTGTCGCTGATGATGGTAGTTATTTCAAATGAAACGCTTTGAAAATATCAAATGTGATATGCCCTCGTATGGCAAAATCCATTGCTCCATCAATATCTGTAATTAAAAAGACAGGTCTATATAAAAAAAAGTTGATGGTGGTCATGTTGACACAAAACGTTTCATCGAATATTCATTATCATTTCGTCATAGTAAACTTTGAAAACAATAACATTTCTCTCTTCCATTTTTCGATATTCTTCGAAATAACAATTCCATTCTAAAAAATGGAAAAACAACATTTTTGGTTTTCCCCGTATAACTCGAGAAGAATGAGAGTTCCTGTAAATTTTCTTCGACCATTGGATTGCTTTCGATGACAGTTACCTTTTTTCACATTTAATCGTCTTCATATGTGTTACGGTTTAGAATATAGCAACGTTACAGCATGATAAAAGAAACGGCCTGTATGTATGAAACATGCATAGCAAGTCCAAAACATGGTTCAACATTGAAAATTCAATTAGTACCTATATGAAATGAACGAAAATATGAGTAATATAATATGACAAAACGAAAGCACGCAAAGAAGAGGAAACAAATTATATGTGAAACCTTATTACACGCAGTTTCAATTGAAAGGTAAATTGAGGCATTACCATGTTGAATGTTTTTTCATAAAGTGTTCAGCAAAAGCTAATACAATTCAAATATCAGTTTCATATTCCGATAATCTGTTTTAAAAATAACATCACGCTAGAGAAGATGAACAAATTTTGAAATCGGATTGATGTTGATACACCCACTATTGAATCAGTATAAATTTGAGAAATAAACCTCTTTTTTACATTCCAAATCTCGATAATCCTATTTTGTTGACGAGGAATTGTTATTGATAGATAAAAACAGGCATGGTTTCAAAACCAGAACATAAAATAGATGTCAGTTTTCGAAATTAGAAATTTTGTAAAACACGGCTCCATATTTAACAATACATATGTGTAAAGAGAGCTGAATGGTTGATACATGTCATATTTGGGATAATCAGTCAATCAGTGACCAGTTTCAATGAATAATATTCATGACATACGTAAGATAAACATCTTTCAACGGTTTGGTGAATTATGAATTTGAAACAAGGTAACTTCTTCCACACTACTCCTTATTGTCGTTGTATCGATTCATTATTTCAGCTTACATTTCTACATGTTTGTGCCACCAACAGAAAGATGGCGCTAGAGGTTATTGAATGAAGTGAGTATCATTATATTTCAGGAAACAGATTTAAAACAGATTTTTTAATAAGTTTTCTATTTACCAACTTGAATATTTGGCGAATATCCAGTTAGGAATTTTTGGTGAAGGATTTGTTGAAATATTTGGCGCAGGAGCCACGCTCAGCGCATTCTGAAATAATAATAATATCATTTATTAATGAAAAGATACAGATAATGTATACATAAAATACAATTTTTTTGCATAAATGATATCTACTTGATAAGTGAGCAAACACTTGTTTCGAGATAAAATTACCTTACTTAACTACATAAAAAGAAAAATATATTCAATCTAATACAAGAACATTACGTAACAAAGCATCACACTTGAAAAATATATAGGAAAATGACAGTATAATACAAAAAGCAAACACGAAAATGAGAACATTCATACAATAAATATTTTTTTGCATAGATGATACATACTTGACAAGTATAAATAAATTTTCAGTACAAGTACAAACATTTTGAAATGTAAGTAATGAAAATGAAAATTAAACCTGTGCATGAAGGATTAAAAAGACGAGTAAAAATGAAATAGAATAAAATCAAATGGCTGGAGAAATTTGGTTCGACGATCTCATTACATTTGGCTCTTGGTGGTTCGTATATGAATTGTTTTACTAGAGAGTGCTACTCTGTTGTTCTTCCACTTAACCCTGAAAAAAACCTTTGCGTACCTGTTGAATCATACAAAAGAACAATGTATAAAAAAAATATTAAAAAATGTCTATACAGTTTTTGGTGAAAGCGGCAGTTTTCAACCTTATGTGAAAATAATGAATAAAAACCTACTGATAAGTCCTGAACAAAAGATTTTTAAGTTGGGTTTTGGAAGTTTGGATACTTCCTGTTTTGAAATTTGGTGGAATGAGATTATATATATTGCAAATCTGGTAACCAAACGATCTTCTGAAGAGTTGAGTTCTGAATGGGGGTGGGGGCAATATTCCTCGATGTCTAATATTGACATTATGAACATCAGTGCAGAATGTTATTTCCTGATGACGATAGGAAGGTCTTCCGGTAGGAATTATTTCATGAAAGAGATTTCCAGAATGTAGAAATCTTCTGTTTTCCATATTCAACCAACCCGTTTCAAATATCTTGTTGGAAATTATTTCTCGCCATATATTAACCGAAGGCAAGAATTTTGTACCTTCTGAATTTTTTGTTTATATTGGTTGGTTGAATTTGGTTCACAAACGGAGTTCGCATTATTGAAATTAGATAAAACCAAGGTCTCGCAGAGTAAGAATTTCAACCTAATAGGAAGACAATGACGTACATTATATGCATGAAATATGCATTAACATATTTCTCAAACCTCAAGTTGAAATCCTTGGTTTCGTCTACTATTTCGACATTTTCATTATTAATTTGGATATCTACTGAGTTTAGAACATCAACTCGCTTATTATTGGATGCATCTAAGATAGCCTTTGATTTTGTGTGGTTTATAATCAGACAATGATCAATAGCATTTTTAACGAATATACCGAGTTCCCTATCGATTATTTTGCATGCATCATTCGTTTCTTGAGGCGGAAAATTTATATAAATTTGGGTATCATCCGCATAACAATGAATGTTGCATTGCTGTATACTTCTAAGAAGATTGCCGGAGTAAATAGCAAACAGCACAGGACCTAACATTGAGCCTTGTGGTACTCCAGATATGAGTGGAAGATAGTTAGACTCTATGTTGTCAATAGAGACTCTCTGGAATCTATTTCTCAAATAATTTTCTGATAAGCGAATAGCTGTACTTAAAAGCCCTATATATCTCAGAATACCAAGCAAATGTGTGTGATTATGGGTATCAAACACTCTACTGAAATCCAACAAAATGAGTTTAGAATACTGTCCTTGATCGGTTGCTCTTATGATATCATCAACAACGTGCAGGAGAGTGGTTGTGCAACTGTATCCTTTTCTGAATCCCGATTGAACAGGTGGCAGTATTCCGAAAGATGTTCTATTAACTGCCTCTCCATCGCGCGCTCTAATATTTTTGACAAAGTAGTTAGGATACTGATAGCACGAAGATCTTAATATTCAACAGGGATTGATTTTTTTGACAGTACTTCAACTAGATAATCACTGAGAAACGGATTTGCTCATATGTGGAACAACATTATGGTGTCTCTGTCGGGTACCATAATCATGCGTAGGAAAACTGGCGTGATTTTTAATTTTTTTATTTTTCAATATAACAATCAAACAATACAGTTGCCTCAGATCTAGTATCCCGCATTTCTTATATGAAAGATCTGTAGAATATCGGTGGGGTTTTTCTGAAATAAACTTCAGGAATTTGTTTTGGATAATCTCTAGTGGTTTGATGTGTGTTCGTAGGGCCCCACCCCAACATACTATGCCGTAACGTAAGTGACTCTAGACGAAACAAAGTATAGTGTTTTCCTATGCTTGAATGACGAAATTTCCTAAGGTATTTGAATTTATAAAGGATTCTCTGTAGTTCTTTGTTAAAATACAGAATGAAATGTTTCCATTAAAATTACTATCAATGGTTACACGTAAGTATTTGATTTCTTCCACAGGTGATATCGCAAAACTACGGTTCTGTTGAGTAATGATTTCAAGATTATCAAAAAGTGGTCTGCTTACATTATTGCAATTATTTCAGTACTAATACTATGTTGCTGTTTCGCTGCTGTTCCAATGTTTTTGACAGAATCAGAATCAACTAACTCAGGCGTGCGCAGCGTTATAGAACAGTGCTTTGAAAAATTATTCTACAGCTCCATCTAGTGGCGAGTTACATAAAAATTGATAGCCTAAAAGCCTTCTCTATGAAAAATTACTTCTACATGTCAAGTTTCATCACGATCGGTTGAGCGATAACAGATATTAGTAATATTTTGAGGCTGCTCTTTTTCATTTGCACTCATGAATTTGTTGAATTTTCAAATGAATTTGATGTGTGATTTTCTCTTGACAGTTAATAAAACCATGATTCAAATTATTTAGATGAGTTTTTTAGTTTTTCACCAAGTATCGACCAGTTTCATCATATAAATGATTATATAATATACAGATGGTTTTCATTTTGATTGATAAAAAACATTGATGATTAAATAATCTTATATTTTTGAAAATTCCCGTTCATGAAAAGAATCATACTTACCTCATTTGGAATAATCTGCTTCAAAATGTATTATGAAGAGAAGAAAAACTGAAAAACATAGAAAGTTCCATTTCTCTTTTCTTCATTATGATTTCCTACCACGTAGTAACGGCTACATCCATCAATTTATCAAAATTCATTCATTACATTCATTACATTCAGCAAAAAATACATGAAAATTGAATCATAAACCTTTTTTCTTTTCCATTTCACGATGTAAATGATAATTCGGTTGGTCAGTAGCCAAGCGGTTCGACGTGGGTGCTTTGTACACTCAGTCAATCAGCCGATGTGTCTGTCGATGTTTCAAGCCGCAGGCTAAACGATTTATTTTCGCACGTTGAAGGATAAGACCTTGTTAGTCCTCAGCTCGCACTTTTGAGAGTTGTCATTTGTAGGGGTACGATAGCTGGTTAACGGAAAAACATATTTTAAACATAATTTATTAATTATTTCCATTAATTGAATATTTTTTATTCGAACATAATTTTGGTAACATCGATGATTCATGTTTGACTTCATATAGAATTATTCAGTCCAGTGATAAGGGAATTTGAAAAAATCAATTCATTTTTTTCATTCAGTAGTAATAAACTTGGAAAGGGACAAGAAAATATGTAAATGTAATTCCATAATATGTATGAAACTCATTCGATTTGTTTTTTCTGAACTTGCATATCTGAAAATTAATTAATTTTATGTATACAGGGTGACACCGAGAACGAAACAGATCGAATATCTGTAGCCCGCGAAATATAAAAATGCACTTTATTTTTTGTCTTTCACAGTCTTTCACAGGAGCTTTCGCAAGTGTTCGAATACACTACTGTGCTAGCGAAACATGTTGTGAATATATTTTTTCAAATGAAGTTTGTGGAGATCAAATCGGGAGGTGTAGTTTTTGAAATTACTATGGATCTTCATCAAGTAACGGCCGAATCAATTAAAAAAAAGGAAAAATGAAACTGCAAGACAATAATTCAGAACCCTCCTCACTGCCAGAAATCCAATAACTTTTCTGTTAGTTCATCACAGAGCTTCGATACCAATATAATGGCCAATTATATTTCTTATAGGTAGTATTAGTTAAAACTTCTGCCCATATCCCGAAATAACACTGGATATATTGTTATTGTAAGGAAACAATTAATTTTCCGACATCATCGTTAGAGGTATCCACGCAAGAGAAATGATCAATACACCAAAATAAATTGGACATTGGATCAATATAGCGCTGACTATCCACTAGGTATGTCTGTTGTACAGTATTAACCGCATTACAGTGAAATCTTTTACCGCATAGCTTCTACATGGTGGATAGTAAATATATCAGGGAATTCAATTATATGGCTGGAATATTGATGAATGTTTTGAATAATGTATGCCTACCTTCATCACAACCATCAATAGAATGGCATTGCTATAAAAAATCGGGGGACATTGTGTCGTTGAACTTCATTATCTGGCATTGATACACACACGCCAATGGGAATATTTAGAATACTCTGTGTACTCACTAGACCTGTAATTCTCCTAATCACGTAAATGAATATTATGATTATCATTATGCATTTTTTTTCAGAGGATATTGGAGTCCATATTGACGAATAATAATTATCATGGATCATCAAAATTTTGTCACATCAAGCAGAGTGATTGTTTTTAAAGCTTTCGACAAAATCGAAAATTCAAGTACTTTTTTGTATTTTTTTACAAATAAAATACATTTTTCATAAAGAGAAATCTCCTAATACCCAGAACTCGTAAAATATATTTTCTATAATTTTTATACATGTTTCTGCATGTAATAAGGAAATAAAGTATTGTTTCCCTTCCAACCTAAGTTTGCACTAGTCAGGCCTTATCCCACGAAGCCTCCATACATTCAGAGGGCGCACCAGCATTATCAACCAACGACCACTCCTCATACCATGGGGTAAGTGATCATTGGGTCCGAGAATCATGTGCCTTGAGTAAGCACAGTGAGCCAAGAATGATGGCCTTATGCATTCGTTCGGCTAAAATTTCTGTCTTAGTGCGGAAATCCGGAGAGACTTTGAGATTCGAGGGTAAAAGGGGCATTCTTTTACCAAGGACTCCCATAATCAGAACAACCATCTTCACAGGGTGGTCTGGATGGAGTCTGCGTAGTTCGAAGAGAAAATCTCGATATTTTCATCGGACGATACTTGTCTCGCCAAGAGCTGAAAACTCTACAACAAATATCGTCTTGCTCTTGTGGTCAAGAAGGACTACATCAGGCTTATTAACTTGTATGAGCCTGAGGGTGGGGAACGAATAGTTTCAATGAATTCGGCACTCCTCGTTTTCCCCAACGGATTCAATACCTGCCAGAGCATAAGGCAACACCGGTGTCTTGTCAATACCGTAGGAGTGACTTAGGTGACTTAGCACTCTAATGGCCGCGTTATGTCGATAGATATAGGCTGAGACCGCCTATGCTGGACATGCTGACAGCAAGTGCATTAGGGTCTCAGATGCCTCACATCAGGCCCTGCACCATGTATCAGGAACCTCTATACCCATCACGGTACTGCGGTAGTATCGTAGATAGTATAGGCCAGATTATTATTATTATTTCGATTGATTTTCAGTATTGCATTACTTTTCATTGCACACATTACATATCAGTTTTGTATTCTGATCATTCAAAAATATAATGTTTCACTTTTTGTGGTTCAAAGTTATTACTTTTATACGTTTTATAATTTGAATCGTTTATTTCTTCCACTTCTTCGTGAGAAACTCTTAGTTTTCGAAAGTTTCCCAAATTTTAGTCTGAAGATGAAGGACTACAAAGCCAAGAAGCTTTCTGTTCATAGATTCTAGTCCATATTCGTGTTTTTGAGTTGGATCACGATTCATGTTATGAGGAAAATATGTGAATCATGATTGAAGAACCAATCTATGTATGGTGCTGGAACTATAATGGAATTTCTGAGTACCTTACCCAAGTCTACAACCTATATTACAGAAACAAAACACAATTTTTTTGGCGTTTCATACCCATGGATGAAATATTGGTCCATCACTGTACACCCGAGATAAAAGAACAATCAAAACAGTAGAACAAAAAGGGAGAACCGGCTCCAAAGAAGGCGGAGAAGGTTTCATCTGCAGGCAAAGTTATGGCATCGGTTTTCGATATGCGCGTGAGATAATTTTCATTGATTGTTTTAAAAAAAAGCTAGAAAAATCAACGGCAAATAATATGCGGAACTATTGCAACGTGTGAGCGAACAGCCGCACCAGCTCACAAATCCATTATCGCAATGAAAAAATGAAGAAATTGAAGTTGAATTTCTACCTCACGCACCCTATTCGCCAGATTTAGTCCCCTCGGACTTGGCGGGTTAGCTGTCCTTGTTCATCTTTCACGAACCACTGTGCATGCTGTTTTTGGCTTGGGATGTGGCTTGGGATGTGGGGGTTGAGCAAACCGGCCATCGGATGCCTGCTTCCACGTAGCCCCGCTGGATACAGGAATGACAGAATCACTTGTGGTTCTGTTCTGAATGACATCCCAACAATGGCTTGATCCTGCGGTTCGTGTATCCATGCCGAGAGGTTGAATGACACTGAGCCTATCAGCTGTCTCTACAGAACCTTCGAGATACCGGGCACACTCTCGTCGTAGCATCGCCTTATCACGGTAATGCAGGGTTCTGTCGATATTGACTTCCTTTCCCTAGCTACTCGTGGAATGGACAGAGTAAACTTAAATATTCTTTCTGACGCTGAGTCTACAGAGGAGATGGATGTCGAGCTTACGACTCCAACTGATCTCCCTGTAAATTTAGATCAGGAGCGAGAGCTTCTCAACTCTCCAGCTCGTGATCCAATAACTGAACCTAAAAAAAAAAGGTTTGGTGGTGCAGCCAGGAAACGACTGTGTCATCTCCTCAACAGCGGGTTACCTTATGAAAAAGTCTTGCAACAAATTCTTAAATTCTTGAGTGGCTTATGCAGAATCTGTCTCAGGTGAAGAAACAAACCCCTCATTAACAGGTTAGCAAACGTTTACGCCCAAGTGATGATTCACCAAAATCAGAGGCGAAAAAGCCCTGCACGGTTGAATCTAAGGCATCGTCAGGTGTAGCTGATGTGCAAAAGCCCTCCTATGGGAAGGTTGTCGTGGGTATCAAGGTGAAAATCTTGCAACTTGACTATCCGACTACCTCATTAACAGAGCATATACTTTGTGCCTGCCCCGCTGGGGACCGAATCAGGTTTTTAGAGTTTGGCAGAGCCGTACTGTTATCATCTTTATCATCTGATATAAAAGACCACTCACCATACAAACTAATCGGCTTCGTTAAGAAGTTGGGTTTATTTGGTAGAGTGTGAATAGGCGTGAGCCACAATGAACCCTTACGGGTTGCGGTGGAGGGTCGAATAGACCCACTCACTTCGGACCTAACCTAACCTAACCCTTTGGACTTTTTTCTGTTCCTTAACTTGAGAAAATGGCTCAGTAGTCAAAGATTTTCCAACGATTAAGAAGTGATGTCGGCAGTTATTGACTGTTTAAAAACGGTATCCAACCTATTGATTCAATACTCCATCTGAAATTGCTCTGTAAATAGTTATCATCATTGAACAATGAGCTGGCCCAGCTTTGTCCCCGAAGCTCTAACACAGTCGGGAGGACGCGCCAGCATTATGAACCATATCATTCAAAATAGGGGCAGTAGAGCCAAAAATCGAAATTTGACCATTCTAGTTCATGGCAAATATTTTGAAAGCAACCACTGATATTCTCAATCTGAAAAGAGATGATTCTAGCTCCTCAAAATAGTAAATTTTTGTCCAATTCAACCGACCTCCTGGATCTTACCGTTTCCGATATTGCTGTCTTGAGATCAGCTCAAAGAACAACATGAATTTTTCACACTCAGCATGAACAGAAAAATCTTGATGAGTGAACTCCTGATGTTCCTATTGATTTCACATACATCAGATTTGCCCGACGACCATCCTGTGAACGCAGAGAGCGTGGGTTTTTGGTGGGACTGTAATACCGATAAAATACACATGGACTTATTACTTATTCTACATCAAGGTAATTGTTAATCGATTTCGTGCATTATTCATCGGTTGTGAGAGGAAATGGATTCCATTAAGTGTTTTATTGAAATTCACATTTTCATCATTCATTCTGTTGATTCAGTGATGCATTTACTCAAAACCCTAAATAGATTTCCATGTTTCAAAATCTGATTCTGATTTCAGTTTCGATTTCACAACCAGTTTCAGCTGAATAACAACAATTCATTTAATAATTCGCCATGAGCATCTTTGCTCACTAACGAGTATGTAGAGTGGATCCAAAATGAGTGCAATTCGCGAGTGTTCATTGCTGAATCCTATTTGAATTCGATTAAATTAAACCAGCCCTCTGGTTGGGCCAGCTACTTCTGGAACATCACTCTTGGGTCAATAGAGAATGGTATATTAACCTCAATCTAGTGAGGAGGACCTGATTACGTGAGGAAGGTAAGCCTGCCAATCAAATTACTAGAGACTTTGGGAAATTTTAGCTTTCTATTTTGAATATTTTGGGAAAGAATGGATAGAGAAGAGGGGATTATAGTTGTTTGGTGGTTATTTTTCATTTTTGGGTTGTATATGAACAATTTCGTGAAAAATGAGGAGGAGTTTCAAAAAAGAAGTTTGAATATTCCATTCTAATAATAGGTATAGTATTTCGTTAGCAAGGAATATCTGGAAATACAAGGTTTTCCTCGTTACTTATTCGTTTTTTCACACCTTCCATTATTCATTCTATTTTTATTCGATTTTTCAACTCTTGCATATCAATGACTTTAAATTCATTGTTCAACTCATTTATCAATCAATTCACACTACAGGTCGCAATTCGCATTCTCCGTGGAGTTGTATTTTTGAAACATCTACTCATTATTTTTCATGTTTCTATAATAGGAAATAATATATTGGCTGGTAACACAAATCATGGAATTATAAAACCACAACAAAAATTAATTATGGTGCTGCGGGAATCTGCAGCACCATATTATCTGAAGATCTTGATCTGCCAATGTCCTTTTCCGCATGAAACAAAATGTTGGATGTCTCCAGAGGCTCCAATAAATTCAAGACATCACCAGAACATCAATAGTGACACTACTATCGTCAAACTTAAACCAGTCTGTTTCGTCTTTGATCAATGCGTAGTAATGACCAGATTCAACGCCAGAAACATAGTGAACGATGACTGCATGAAGATTATAATAGTAGTCTGCTAGATTGAACCTTCGTAAGAGTTTGCTGTGTCCGTCAGAGGTTGAGTCATGTTTGAAGATCATCAGTGTTATTATTAGATTGACTGGTGCCTCAGCTATACTTATTCAGTCACTTATTATGGCGAATGCTTTAGTAATACAGTTGATCATTATCTGTTATAAGTTCATTTTCAGATGATTTAACAATGAGCTTTCAACGCTAGTTGAAGTTTCAGAAAATTACATACGTTTTCGCTACCTCTTGAACATTTACTACAAAGTAGACAAGTGCGGATTTGTCCGGCAAAAGATCTACAAACACAAGACGAGTACGGAATCATTCTATTCAGAGCGGTCAGGAGTATTGATTCTACAATTTTTTCGCTCACGAAGAGTATTCAACAAGAACCCCAAGAATTCGGAA